TCCTGTGTGACAAAGTCTACATTAGCGAAACTTTCATTTTTTATACCTTATATAACCTACATTTACTTTAGTGTACTCGTAAAGTTTGGGAGAAATCTACCGTCCAGGTTTTTAAGGGACCGTCTCGTCTCAAAATACAGGTACATTTATTATAGTATTATATTTAGAGGAAAATGCCAATTTTAGCACTTTAAGGGAAATTATACATATACTACTATGGACTTTTTTGGGTAAACTATGATATATGTCACGTAAAACTGTACTTCACAAAATGTGTAAGAAACAAAAAAATTTACCGGCTTATCACCAAAGCGGGCATCTCAAAATATCAATAATTAACGAATGTTCCTGTTTTTTTTTAGAGTACTACAAAATATGACGGGTACATAGTATTTATATGAAAATAAAATAAGAAAAATGGAAATATAAAAAATGTCAAATTTCTATGTTTTAAATTTCAAAAGCGTATTTTTATTACTTTTCTTTTTTAACATTTTATTACCCCCTTCTTTAACAGCTTTGAACAGTTAATCATAACATCAAAAGACACTGAACGTCAAACTACCTATCAGTTGAAAAATCGCTTAAAAAATCAGCTATATAGAATTGTAATTACATATTCAAACCTTAAGTTTACATTCTTAATTTTGTGTAATGTTATGTACTAAGTTGAAAGGGATGCTTTTAAAGAGTAATACGTTTTATTTTACAATGATGCGCGAAATATTGCGCAATGAAAACCACAGTCGGTCCCCTTAAAACGTCTGATGGCTTTTCTATTTCCTTGTCAAGGACTGTTTGGTAGTTGGTTGTGTCCCCAACTGAAAATTTATGGCTGTAATCCCTCTAAACTGAAGTTGGTTCATATGGGCCTGAATCAAGGTTATTGTGATATTAAATTTAATGATTACTATTAATTGATCAGGAACTAAAGCAAATGATGTGAAATTCCAAAAATAAAATGCATTACCGGTATATGTAATGGTTCTATACTTTCTCAAACCCAGAGTAATGCTTACTTTACAAAACGCTATCTTTATAAAGCTATTTTAAATGAATTATAAATGGACGTGAAAGGTATTGTTTGCATTGAACATTCTTTCCAAAGATTGAAGTGAAATACGAAAAGTTATTAAACCTTCTTAAGAAACATTCTATATTAATCTATTTAAGTACAGTTTTTATTCTTCTGAAATTTTGAAATTCACATAGAAATTTTCATGTTTATTCTAAACAGCATTCCATTTCAAAGAAAACTTTAAAGTTTTTAAAAATCGTTTTTTAAAAAGATTCTGGTATGAGTGATAAATATATATAAACTTTAAGCTGATAATTGTCATATTTTGAGTGTCATCAAATACACAGTCAACACTCTACAGGTGCGTATCATTACCGCTGCATTTTCGAAATTTTCTTTACCGCTACATAGTCATTACCGCTATACAAATCGTTACATTACTGCTACATATAAAAGTATACATTACCGTTGTATTGCCCCTTCGATCGCCAGCCACTTACATGTATAAGTGTACAGATTGATGTAAAGTACAACATTTACATGCATAAAACCTGTTTCTTCAACTCACCACGAGGATTTGAAAGAAGGACTCTGAACATATTTTTTTAAAAATATTTATTGAAATTCATTTAATGTTATACGTAAAACACATTTAAAAATAAATCAAGCCATAGATAAAACCCACAGTCTTCAAACTTTCTTTACACAGTCGTTTAAGCTATGAATGCCATAATGTTAGAAGGAGAACTGTGTTTGGAACTCATAGTCCGTACTATACCTGGCTGATTCGATACGTAGGGTAATAAGTTGTTTTTGGCCAAAAAAAATTGCAGTAATGAGTACAAATTAATTCGATCATGTAGTGTTCAGAAAAGTGTTCAAAAGAGCCCCTTTCTTCTAACTGTGTTTGCATAACCATAAATTAAGCTGGTCTAGTTTACGGTGACCCTGACTTACTGATTGTACATGTATCATAAAGGAATTTAAAAAAACAGACATTTTACATTATTTAACAATTCGATCGTGTATTGTTCAAAGAAGTGTTTAAAAAAGTCCCTTTATTCTAATTGTGTTTACTTAGAATATAACCTACTTTTGTCTCTTCATGGTGAAGAATTCTTCTATATCTGAAATATTTAACGATGTTTAATTGGTTCACTTAACAGTTATATGGGCGTGTTTTTATTGGATTTTGTGCAGCACACAAAAGGAGACTATTCAAAACCCACTTGCTGTTTCCAATGATATTTAAACTTTCTGGGCCTTGTTACACTTTTTTCCGCAGTTATCTTTTATAGCCTTTCTGAATATTATTTTTTCACATTTCGGTACATACAGAATATATAACCATCATCATGTATATCAGCGACAAACCATTTTTGTAAAGACGGATTTAAGTCACAATTTTTCTCAGATTTTTACTTAACACTAGACGGCGATGCCTACTCCTGCTGACAAGGGCCTTGTCATCTTAACACAATTATTTTTTCAAATATAGATATTAAGATTCTTGTTACAAGGATATTCATAAACTCACTAGATTTAACATCTTCACCATACCATTTCCCCAGTAAATCAAGCAATGTCACATAATCCCGAGTTAACCTGAATGGGTTGAAGTCCATGAAACCGCGTATGTTCGATATTGATTGCGTGCTCGATAAGTACAACTAGCGGTCAAGTTGTTGAGCATTATATTTGAAACAGTCGTGGAAGGAGTTTATATATAATCCATTCATTCGATTAGCTTCATGAGGCTCTGATCTAAATCAGTAAGATTTTACTATTACATAACTTTTAATTAAACTGGTCAGGTTTATAGTGACAATTGCAACTGATTGTACATGCACCATAAAGGAATTTAAAAAAAAAAACAGGCATTATACAGAGTTATCTAACAATTAATTTGATCGTGTATTCTTCAGAGAAGCGTTAAAAAAATCCCATTTCTTTTAACTGTTTTTACATAACCGTTAATTAAGCTGGTCAAGTGTATTGTGACCAAAGCAAAGTGATTTTACATGTGTCATGAAGGAATTTTAAAAAAAACAGGCATTCTTCTTTTATCAGACCCCAATGTCAATGTTAATGTGCTGTCGTACCCTTTTTATAAGTTTACTTCAAAATTCATAAAGTAATGGTAATATATTTTCATTTCTATTTTTTTTCTCTGTGATAACTGTTTGAAAGTTTTGGGAATTTATTTCTTGATAATTCTGCCGGAATGTAAATAAGGCAGGTCGATAGGTCAGCAGCTAAGGAGGCCTAATACGCATGCAAATCTCGTGCACATCTGTCTCTGTGGCTGACGCTAAGGAGGCCAAATATGCATGTAAATCTCGTGCGGCTGCCTTTGTGTTTGACGTCAGTGTGAGAGGACTATTGAAATTGGCATGGAAATGAAATGGAAATATAAGGAATCACTGTCTAGTTTTGAGAGTATGCCAGGGACATCAACAATAGTGGGAAACATGGGATAATTTTAGCATAACGGGCTTCGCATGTTTATCCCATGTTTCCCACTATTGTTGATGCCCTGGCATACTCTCAAAACTAGACAGTGATTCCTTAAAGTAATATACGCCGTATGGATGCCGATTTGTATGTGAAACAAAATGATTAAATGATTTGAAACACATAAAGTGTAATGAAAAAATAATATTTCCACAAAATTTAACTATAAAACTCGTTGTGATAACAGAACAATAAAGCAATATCTGCAATCAAGAATTCAGTCTTTTCATGAATATTGATAAAGGAAGTGCGTAAACAGTAGGTCTAAATATAGACACGTATGTCCACGGGAAATTATAGACAACGAGGCACGTTGCATTTTGACAACGATTATTAATAAAAGGTTAATATGCGTCATAACAGAGTATAGATGGTTGATACTGATTACATTTAAAGATAAGTTATATTAATAGTAACACGCCATCCATGTCAAAAGTGAGTTGTATCTCAAAGGGCTTACCTCGTTTTCTTGACGCCGTGTTTGTTTATCAATCTAAAAGTAGCGACGGCGTCACGTGGTGGATTTACTTAAAAATAGACATTATTCTCCTTGCAGGATAATAAATGATTATAATTTGATAACTTTATAATGAATTTTATTTCAATCGTGTAATTTACAGCATTTTCGTAACTTTTATTGGTAAACAAAATATATAAATTTCCAGCCGTATTTTAAAATGGCGCACGTTATAGCATATATTACTTTAAGTAATGCATTACTTTTCCATATAATTCGCCACAAAGCCTGGTGAAAATTCATTTACGAATCATAAATAATTATGTGTTTCTTGTCCTTTTTTACTCACTGTGGTGATTCAAAAGGCGATGGGAAAATTTTCAGGACTTCCATTTTTAAATTCTACAATTAAGATGTATATAATTTTCTTTCAAAGCAATGGATATTGCGATCTCACCCTTTTTCTCAAAATTTTCTTGAATTTTTCCCCTATATTTAGGCATTGAAAAAAAATTAATTTATATTTCCTGGTTTTAAAGCACACAATTTTATGTTTTCACGTAATGTTGGAGGATCGAGAGGAAGAATTTTGAGATCCCTTTATATATACAGGTTGTATATTTTTCAGGAAAAAGAAAGGCTATAGGTAAAAAAGAAAGTGCATTTAGAAAGATCTTGTCACGAGTAAAACACGTGACTCTGAAAGTTTAAACTCTTCCCATTCAAAAGATATGAACAAGATTAAAGTTTTAAAGCCTGAAGACGGACAGACAATTACGATAAATTAATATTCCCTAACTTTTGCGAAGGAGGGGGAAAAATACTGAAACATGAACAATATAATTATGATTAATTTTGTATTAACATAAAGCCAAACATCTTCACTTTGAATTTGAAGGTTTCAAAACTTACTTCATTATTCTAATTTGTTTTTCTAATTTGCATTGTTACATGTTTTACTACTTGATCATTTCCTGATAATTCTGGCCATAATATTTGTCTCGTTGTAGGTTAAAGTGCTTTTTCGACTTGTCCTAAAGGTAAACAAAGGTTTGTATTCAAGCAATTAGGAGAAAACCACCACCCAGATTTATCCCCTCCTGAACATCCGTAAACATTCACTCCATTTGCTTCAAAATCTTCATTATCAATTAAATCCGCACTGCTTGCGGTAGGTAGGTTATCAAAACCGTTGCCAAGGTAATCATTGGTACTTCCGCTGAATGAATCAAGTCGCAATGTCCAGGCCGTTGGATCTTTGACCAAAAAAGATCCATAATGTATCGAATCGTTGTGACCATTTTCAAGCCTTCTGTTGATTTCCAGTTTGTAGTTACTGCTTGTGTTTGTAAGATATAACATATTTTGTAGTCCTATCCAATGATCGCACGATAAATCCTGCCCAAATCCACTGATGTAATCCGACATAGGAAGGTTCCAGTTGTCAACGCCACAGTTCCCGCCATGCTCCATGATGCGTGTAAAAACTCCTTCTGGCTTCACATCACAATAGAGTGAAATTGGCCCTGGTGCTCCCGATGGAATAATTGTGTAGACATTACTTGCTGGTGGACCCCCACCCAAAACATTAGAACAGTCTGAAAATACAAGTAAAATAATTGACTGAAATCAGGGGCGGGGGTTTAAGCAGTTTTGTGTGTTTCAGAGAGAGAATGGGGGGCATAAGAGGTTTCATATTTACCTCCATCCCATGGATAATTAGGGTCGTACAAGGTTGTTGTCATTGACAGTGACGTCGTCTCCAGGGTAACAGATTGTGATGTCCCCAACATTGATGTCATTTCCAAGGTATGTGATGTCATTGATAGTGATGTCATTTCCAGTGTCACGGATGTATTGTTATCGAATAAAGGTATACCATCAATCTAAGTAAAACATTAAATTTGAAAATTGTGTGATAACTTTTTACAGTCATATTAAAACTTTGTACATGCACTTACATACACTCTATATAATTAAAAATTAATTTTTTTGTACATACATTGTCAATACATTTTTTTTTAATTCGTTCTTATGTGTTAGGACAGCTATTATTATTACCTTTTGTATAAATATGCAATTGACGACATCCAAAAAATCTCCACATGATACTGAATTTAAAATTTCCACATATTGGCAAAACGTTCCTGATTCATTCTTACACAAATTAATTCCGTCACATCTTGTCTCTTCAAAGCATCGTAACGCGCAGCGGATCGTTCTATCAGAATGACCATTAATTAAGTGTAATTCCTGAACTTTAGATGACAATCCAAGAATATTATTTTCTCCACATATTTCGACTTTTTTATAATACAATTCCCGAAAATACTGTCCATTCACTTGAATAATCATAGAGAGCCAGGCGCACATAAAAAGTGCCCTGTCTGTCTTCATTGCTGATTCGCTACAAATATTGGAATGAAGAGTAATTTAAAAACGGAACTGACGTTCATGAATAAGAAATCATTTGAAGCCTCTTCACAGAATAAAGAAAAAAAAGGGCATGTTTTCCTCACAGACCTCGATAAAAAATCTTTTGTTCAACGAAAAGTAACATCTTGACAAAAATGTCGCTGTTTGATAATTGTCACATTTAGAACTTTAAAAATCTTTTTGACTAACTTAGAAGTGTTTCAATGAAAAGCGCTTTGTATTAAGGAACTGTCTTTCGGATTTTAGATTTGGATATGGTCAATAAAGCTTTTTTAAACATTTTTTTCTTGAATTTGAATAAACATATCTATATTGGATTCCGATACTTCATAAAAATCCTTACAAATTAAGATTCTTAGCAGGTTCTAGTAAATGTTCAACCAAGCCCCTTTCATCACTCCTCATTAACATATTAACATTAGTGAAAGAGAAACTTCAAGAGTACTTTGCAACAATATATTCAAGAAGTGATGAAAATCATATGTTGATACTTAAGATTCCAAGAAACTTTTGGAAAATTTGAAATCACAGGATTTTACTAAAAGCGACAGCTTAAAAACAAATGAATTTTCATCTTTAAATTCCCCACGATTAAAGTGCAGGCTTTTTTATATCATTGACAGATGCTTTTTCAATAAAATTGGAATTCGTAAATTCACTTACTTTGTCATTAGTCATTTGCGAAATTCTTTTGTTATAAACATACTAATTGTAAACAAAAGTGGGACATATTGCTTTAGAAAAACATTAATGGTAATCTAACAGCCAAGCTACAGGATACACGAGATGACTTTAACTTTTCAATCGTCAACTTCCCATACTTATGCAGCAATATACCTTCATCACCTGCATACGGAGTTCATGTATCTCAGGTGATTCGATACGCAAGGGCATGCTCCACGTATGTAAAATTTCTAAAACAAGGTAAGTTATTGACAAACGAATTTCTGAAACAAGTATATCAGCAGTCTCATATCAGCAGTATCATATAAGTGCTGTTTTGTAACAGTTATATGGGAGCGTGTGGATTCATCGGACCTTATCATACCAGTCAAACTGGTGGATTTCCATCAAAGGTCTATCTAGCACTACTGGTGTATTATTTCTTTGATAATCTTCTCTTCTGCTCCTTGGTATTAAACAAACAAACCAAGTACACAGTTATGGTTACCAAGAGTGCCTCTTCGAAAATTGTGAATTTCATGACGCCTGGGTCAGGGGTTATGGTGTTAGAGTTGGGGTTTATTGATCATATAGTAAAAGTGCATTATTTCTTTGAAAATCTTTTCCACTGCTCCCGATTATTAAACAAACTAACTAAGTGCATTGTTATGATAAACAAGAGTGCATCTTCCAAAATTGTGAGTTTTATGGCCCAAAGGTCAGGGGTTCTAGTGTAAGGCTCGGGCTATATTGATTATATAGTGAAAATGCATTAATTCTTCAAAAATCTTCTGCTCAGCTTCTGGGTATTAAATAAACTAGCTTAGTTTATTTTTATAATGAGCAAGAGTGCTTCAACCAAATTTGTGAATTTTATGGCCTTGGGTTTAAAACACGAACCAAATTCAATTGTTGGAAAGTTGTTACATGATACTCAGGTGACCTAAAGGCGTGTGGGCCTCTTGAATTCAATATTTCCCGAACATGACATTGAGCACACGGCGGATGTGACCCGTCGAAAGGGTATGCTTACTCCTCCACCGGACTTGATCCCACTTCTGATATATTGGAGGTCCGATTTTGTTTAATGATCTAGCCATTATAATGCATACCAAAGGGGGATGGGAGGCATGGTTTGGAGAATGTTCACTACCAAAGGATGCTTCTTTGTCGATAGGGATAATCATCATGGCTTTCTTGTTCTAAAGAGGAAGATGTCAAAATAGTTTTCCTATGTAAAAAACTAATTCCTGGCTGTTTCCAACCTCCTTCAGGGGTCATGATTAGAATTTGAACATGCAAGGAAGATTTACTATGTAAAGTATGTTAGTGTTGAATCTGTTCTAATTTATGACATTGACGTTAAATTTTGACACAATTTTGAGTTAATATTTTCTCAAATTTCCTGTTTTATTTCATGACTTATATTGTTAATGGCATTTCAAACTAAAATATAAATATTTTATTGAAACTTCATATTTCTGAACGCGTTTGATCGTTTATCCTTCACAAATTTTAAATTTATATTAAATACCTAAGAAAAGTAGCAATTTTGTTGTGTATTTGTCAATGATATTAAAAACTATAATCCAGAAAATTCATAGAATTCCAATAACTTACAGATAAAAGGAACTTTTTAAATTATGTTTTCGTGTTATATGCTATTGCTATATATAAGTGGTAGTATTATACTGATCATTTGAGAAAATATTAATTTTAAATCTGTGTCTAAGCACTTTAAACTAATTTCATGATCCATGATAGCTATTGAAAGATATGGAATTAGATCCTTATAGGGGGGAATACATTAGAATTAAAAAAATATATATATAAAATGGTAGAAAGAATGCGATTTATTTCTTTAACAACACTAAAAAATAAGTACTTGCATCTGAAACACTGATTACAACGTAACTACAAAAGGCGTAATGCTTACTCAAAACAACAAATAGAAATTCCAATCCTAGACCCCAACACTTCCAAGACTACATAAAAAATTCTAATGTAAATTCTATAATACACATGTAATTAAAATTACGATTCTCAAGAAAAAGCAAATTACTATTTACAATAAGCTAATTCCTATTTAAACAAAGCAAAATCATCTTTCTTGAAGAGAACTACAAAATTAATGTAGCTTTTACATCAAAACACAAGGCATTAGCACAGTTCTAAGCATATCAATAAATATAAATTGATAGATTAAATATGACCTTAAACAAAGTAAAACACATTATTATTCTTCAATTATAAGACTTTTTTTTAAAAAATCAGAAATTGATACAAAGCAATATAATCTTAACTTTGAACATATGAATATTACAATCTACTTGTATGCTTATTGCATTATGTGTAAAAACTGCTTATGGCTTTTACAAAAAAAAATCTTGGAATATACGAGAATAGAAAGAGCAACCAACATATTCTTATTGTCTAAAGAAAAATAATACAATCACTTTGTACCCAGACATTTTGGCAGAAAATCTCTGTAGTGAAATAAATTCAAAATCACTTTGAACACACACATTTTGGCAGTTGATCTCTAAAGGATTTACTTTGACTGGCATAAATAAAAATTTCGACTGGTTTGCTAAGTGTAAATGTTAAGTAGATGAACATGAAGAATAGAAATACGGAGGAATAAACATAGCTGTCATCCATATAGTCCATATTCAGGTGTAAATAAAACATGAGCATAACTATTGGAATTTGCGACATAATGAAGGAGGTTCCTAAGAGGATATTGACTTTTAGCAAACGAAGATATTTGACTTTATTGGTATATTTACCCTTTGTTAACACCTCCAGAACTTTTATGTGTTTTTTCATGTTAAAATGGAGAGCAATAATACAGCCACTATTGATGAAAATAGGTATAATATAGAAATAAACCAAATTGCTGAAAAACCCGAGAGAGTCGGTTTGGTAAAAGAAGTCCCAGGTTCCAGCTTCACCAAAATCTAATTTACAGGCATCTATGATTTTTAAGGGCTTCCCCGGAGAGAAATCCTGTATTGTTCTCATAGGTGTCAAAGTCGAACCAATTGGAGAAATAAATTGTAAACTACACACTATGAAATGAATAAAAAACCATATACAAATTAACACCTTAAATCTGTCGTAGTAGTATTTAAATTTTATGGGAAAGATAAATAAAAGGGCCTGGGTTAACGTTGAAAGACATTTGAGATGATTTGACGTTCCATGAAGTACTTTCAAAACAACACAGGATACAATCATGAATCTGCAGATCTTGTATTCTATGAATCCATAATTCATGTCCATGTAATCTAGGAGTCCGTCTCTGAAGCCCATGAACATCGTAAACAGAACATCGTTACACATAACTAGAATCAAAAAGATTTGTGCTGTGCCCCAAAGTTTTCCTTTGTGAAATATAGTCCACATGAAAACGGTTGCACTCAGGGGGAAAACCCACAAAAAAGGCGATACAATTGTCGAAAATTGTAAACCGAATTTACCATATATGGATGAAAATGTTAACGCCTGGTCTTTAGTGATTTTCTCGTTCATAAATCCAAACAATAAAATGTTCAGTTTGTGAGACGAATTTTTGAATGACATGAGGCTAGTACTTTTACCCAAACAACATAGACACTTAGATAGATGCGATCATTCTCTTTATATAATCACAATTTTGCTTAATCACGATTTTAAGACAGAAGAGTGACAATTTCAGATT